CGCCTTCCCCCCGGGGGTCATGATTTGAACAAACTTGAATGATGAATCTACACTACCTGAGGATGCTTCCAATTGAGTTTCATGTTTCCTGGCCCAGTGGTTTTTAAAAAAAAGATCTTTAAAAATTCCATTAAATTTTCCCTAATTCATAATTATCTCCCTTTGAAGAGCGTGGCCCTTTGACCAAGGTTACTTTGGTGCAAGTTTGGTTGAAATTGGCTCAGTGGTTCTTGAGAAGAAGATGGATATGTGAAAACTTTACGACAACGACGACAACAACAACGACAACGGCAGACAACGGACAAATTTTGATCAGAAAAGCTGAATTGAGCCTTCGGCTCAGGTGAGCTAAAATTGAACGTAAAGAATCAATAAACTAGATAATAATATACACTGTTACACTTCATTAAGCTTTTGTAAAACTTATTATTAATCCCAAAGAAATATCCATTGAAATTTACAGCAACCAATGTATGTTTATTAGACACATGAGCAGGTGGATTTCAAAGAACAAAAATGATAAAATGGGCATCAAGGCAACCAGGACTTACAACAGCCAATGCACTGTTTGCAAAAATTTAACAAATATTTCTCTAACGATGTTTAATTGACTTTCAGACAAATAGACAATTTGATTGGCATCATTTCGGGTGTAGTGTTCACTATTTTAAATAAACAACTGATAGTAAAAAATGCTTAGTACTCAATGGTCACCTTATGTTTAGAGAAACAAGTGAAAACAACAGCGTGTAAGAATATCTAAACAATTAATCAAAAAAAAAATCAAAACTTATAGTCATTATCATTTGTCTGAACTTAAAACAGATAAAGATACTTGGATCATTGCTTTAAACCCTTAAAACAAAATTATAATAAGACGCATGTGACAAAACCAGCAAATTTAAATGTCTGAGAAGAGCAAAAAAGAGTGTTTAGATCGCAGCTGAGTACACTCATTCATTTATTCTTTAATGAAGGTTCTCAAAAACACACATTTTCTTTAAATACAGTATCATTACAATTTCACAAGGTTTGTCTTTTAATACAAACCTTTTTGATAGAATCAGAATACACTTTTTAAGAAGTACAAAATCATAGTAATGCTCCACAAAAAATGAACCCTTACAAGAAAAAAGCCTTATGATAAGAGTACATATACATCACATTTTAAGAAGAATAGAAGAGTTAAATTAACTTCGCTCTCGCTTAACTGAACTAAAATTTATCTACTTCAAAATTTTCATAAATCAGTACATAAAATGAAACTGACAAAACAGTCGATTGGTTTAAGAATCATGGAGACAAAAACCAGAAGATAGAAAAAATTTAGAACGTGCAAGCGTTTAAAAATGTCCCATTTTGTATTGTCTCTGTGTCTATTTACCACGTTTTACAAATATACCATCGTTTCTTTGAATGAAAATGCACACAAATAGGTTTAAGGATCATTGCGAGAAAACAAAGAGAAAGAAGAAATTAGAACGTGCACACGTTTAAAAATGTCCCATTCTTTGCAAAAAGGTCTGATCTCGCCAGTTTTTAAGTTATTTTTCAGCAAAACTAAACTCACTATATCCCTTTTCACAGGAACCAGATAAATAAAAAAAGATAACATTTCATGTGATATGTCAATAAAATTATTATTTTTTCATTTCTCAAGTAAACCCAGATTCCTACCGAATGCCTATTAAAAGCGCCCTCGTTCTTTGCATTTATTTTAATAATGCAGTGCATTTGGTCGGTAACAAGATCCCTAGAAATTGTTCAACTTCGATTGTTATATAAACCTATAAAGTAACTGTTATTAATGACAAAATTTAAATATTCAAAGCGAATCACATTGCAGGTTGTTTTGCACACACGTTTGTTGAACTAGATATGTTTTTACCAGATGGACATATATCTCATTGTTTATCTCTGGTAATTTTTTTCTAATCTAAATATTTCTAGTCTTAAATCTCCTTCAAAGCATTTCTGTTGTTGTTGTTTTTAAAAGAGAAGCCTTCAACACTTTACTTCTGTGAATTAACTTCTGTTAAGTCTGGAAAAAAAAGAAATAGATTTTACAAAATAAAACTTTTAATTACACTACATTATTTTTTTCCTTCCCTTTTTTTAAATAGAAATAGATATTCTTGATTGTGATATCAATGAAGAAAAATATATGGATCTATTGTGAATCTATTGTGTCATTAAACATTAACAAATAACTTTAGTAAAATAGTATTGCAAAAAATGTTCACTTCATTCATCTATGTCGGGTTAGTTCTTTTTATTACTTCTTCGAAACAAAACACTCATATCGTGCATTCGACCAGCAAAGAGACTGTTGGACTCTCGGTTTAAATTCACTTAATCTGTTGAAAGTCCAGAAGTAACCTGTCAGATCCTCATTTCTAATTTGTAATGGATGAATTGTCAACACATTGCGCTGTGGTAAGAGCGTCCTGGTTTTGCTTTTCTTGAGAAGAAGATTTTCAAAGAATTGTCCTATATATTTCTATGTAAAACATTGGTCGGCCATTGGGCTCCGCACTACCCCCGGAGGTCATGATTTAAACAAATTTGAATCTATACTACCTAAGGATGCTTCCATATAAATATGATTAATAAAGGCTTTAATATTCTTGAGAAGAAGATTTTTAAAGAATTTTCCTATACATTTCTATGTAAAACTTTGGTCGGCCATTGTGCCCCCCCCCCTACCCCTGGTTGTCATGATTTGAAGAAATTTGAATCTACACTTCCTGGGGATGTTTCCCCATAAATTTCCTCTTTCCTGGCGCAGTGGTTCTTGAGAAGAAGATTTGTTAAAGATACCACCAATTTTTTTTTAAATTCCCAATTATCTCCCCTTGAATGAAGGCATGGCCCTTCATTTGAACGAACTTGAATCCCCTTTATCCAAGGAATCTTTGTGGCAAGTTTAGTTGAAATTGGCCCAGCGGTTCTTGAGAAGAAGTCAAAAATGTGAAAAGTTTACAACAACAACGACAACGACGACGACAACGCCGCCAACGACGACAGACAACGGACAAATTGTGATTGGAAAAGCTCACTTGAGCCTTTGGCTCAGATGAGCTAAAAAGTTATATTTATTAAAAGTGTTTTTAAGGTGGTTTGTTTGATTATGAATAATGAAAAATGATATTTTGTCTGAAATTAATATGTTTAGTAATACTATATAAGGTGTCAACACACCTTCCTCCGGTTTGTTGAAATCTTCTTTTTTGGGTACATTGTCCCGCCTTTCCTCAATATCTGTTGCAAATCCTGTAATAGAGCAAGTGTAGTTTCATTTATATTGCGATGATACTTACAACAATGTATGTAAATAGCACCCTTAAGGTGTACTATAATGATTGGAATGTAGAAATGCACAAATTTGAATCTACGCTACCTGAGGATGCTTCCATATAAATATGATTAATTTTAACTTTAATATTCTTGAGAAAAAAGATTTAAAAAGTTATAAATTTCCTCTTTCCTGGCGTTGTGGTTCTTGAGAAGAAGATTTTTAAAAGATTCCACCAAATTTTCATTAATTCCCAATTATCTGCCCTTGAGAGAAGGGCATGACCCTTCATTTGAACGAGCTTGAATCCCTTTATCCAAAGAATCTTTGTGGCATGTTTGGTTGAAATTGGCCCAGCAGTTCTTGAGAAGAAGTCGAAAATGTGAAAAGTTTACAACAACGACGACAATGACGCCGTCAACGACGACGACAACGCCGCCAACGACGACAAACAACGGACAAATTGTTATTAGAAAAGCTCACTTGAGCCTTTAGCTCAGGTGAGCTAAAAGTTTTATTTATTAAATGTATTTTAAAGGTGTTTTGTTTGATTATAAATAAGAAAAAATGCAATTTTGTCTGAAATTAATATGTTTAGTATAAATGTGTCAACAAACCTTCCTCCGGTTTGTTGAAATCTTGTTTTGTGGGTACATTGTACCGCTTTTCCTCATTACCGTATGCAAATCCTGTAATAGAGCAAGTGTACTTTCATTTATATTAGGATGATACTTACAACAATGTATGTCAATAGCAACCTTAATGTTAATAATGAGTGGATTATAGAAATGCACAAATATTAACTGTTAAACTAAATTTTCGTTTTGTAGCTGACATACTATAACACGATATCTATAACATATGGAGTCGACTAATTTCTATTTATCAAGGATAGGCGGAGTTGAAAGTCCCTTCAAGTTCTTTCTTGTAAGTATATATAAGTAATAGCTTTACATTCAATAAAATTACAGTTAAACACAATTTCTTAAATTGTACCTATTAAGAAGTCCGTTTTATTAATATACGTAAATCACAGCAAGTTTTTCGATTCGATTGTGTGACCTTTCTACATAATTCAGGAATGAGGCTTATTTGAACTTATGTTCTACGATCTATCATAACTAGGGGCAGTTCAGGCTTGACAAACTGCGAAGCGGTTTATAAAAACAGATTAAATTTTTCCCAGTGAATCTTGAGAAGAAGATAAAAATGTGAAAAATTTACGACGACAATCACGCCCACAACAACGACTGCAACGACGACAGACATTGGACAAATTTTGATCAGAAAAGCTCACTTTAGCCTTCGGTTCAGGTGAGCTACAAATGAAATTTAAACAAGACTGTTAAAAAACTCGTGCTGACTTATTGATTGTATTTATCATTTGCGTGCCTTGCCCAGCATTACATTCAGCAAGAGCGAGATTTCACTTCATTCATCTATGTCGGGTTGGTATCATTTATTAATTATCTAATAAAATATACATCTACCACACTTTTTGTTACTTCTTCGAAACAAAACACTCATGTCGTACATTCGAACAGCAATGAGACTGCTGGACTCTCGGTTTAAATTGACTTATAATTTGTAATGGATGAATTGTCAACACATTGCGCAGTGGTAAAGCGTCTGCTCCAGATTTATTATAATTTATATACTGTAGATTGGCAAATAATCACGATGGTTTTAATTTCGCTATGTTCGCGATTTATCATTTTCCGCGGTATTAAATCCATCGTTAATGTCATTATTAGTTTTGAGAAACGTTTAAATGCTTGAATTAGTTTCTTGCATCGTGAAATTAAAACTATCATTAACGATTGGTACTTTTTGAGATATCGTGAAATGTTAACACAGTGGAGTTAAAACGATTTACAGTATTAAACTACAATATTAAAATTTTCTATAGTATCCGTAAAGAGGGATACAAAAACTGTGTCTTTTCACATATTAAAACCACAAAATAATATGAAAGCAGTTCACCTTCTCTATGTGGGCTTGGGTGCGGTTGATTATTCCCGGATGTAGAGTTTGTAATTGCTAGCTTCTTTTCTTCTTTTTCCGCTTCTTTTTCTGCTTCTTCTTCTTCTAGAATAAAAAAAATATTTAAAAAAAAATGAATAAACATCTTTTAATCTCCAGACAGTTACATGTAATAAATATGGGGTCTTATTCAGAGTAAATGTTTAGGTCTTTCTGTTCATTTTTTTGTCCTCAGGCGACAATAGATTCTCTATCGAAAATATGAAATAACTATTTTAAGTAAATTTGAGATAATCCATGAAATAGATTTGTTTGAAAAATAAATTTGTTATCATCTCGCAACAGAGTAAATTGCCAGAATTTTAATTTGAAGTGATCATTTTTCGATTTATTTCACATCCTTCTTTATAACCATAGTATTTAAAAGTTATATTTATTAAATGAATTTTCAAGGTAGTTTGTTTGATTATAAATGATAAAAAATGATTTTTTTTTCTAAAATTAATATGTTTAGCATATATGGTGTCAACAAACCTTCATCCGGTTTGTTGAAATCTTCAGATGAGGATACATTTTGTCGTTTTTCCTCAGCACCGTGTGCAAATCCTGCAATAGAGCAAGTGTAGTGTAATTTATATTGCGACGAAACTTGCAATAATGTATATAAATAGCACCCTTAAGGTGTAATATAATGAACGGACTTTAGAAATGCACAAATATCTACCTGTTAAACTAAATTAACTTTTCGTAGCTGGTATACTAAAACACGATATCTATAACATATGGAGTCGACTGCTTTCTATTTATTAAGGATAGGCAGAGTTGAAAGTCCCTTCAAATTCTTTCTTATTTGTAAATTCAAGTAATTATAGCTTTACATTCAATAAAATCACAGTTAAACACAAAACTCCACAATTAAAAGAACTTCCCTCATTTATTTAAATAAAAGAAACCTAAGAATAACGAGGATTTCTTCCGCTGAAGACCAAAGGCCATAATTACTAAAAATAAAGAAGAAAACAAAATATAATCGGAATAAGGTTCTTGGAAAAGATTGGACGATGCAGTCTTTTTCTGCTTGATAAATATAGTGTAGCTGAGACCAGTGGTTTTTGCTTTACTTTCTTGCATTTTACTTTAAAAACAAGTCCGTCCTGTTTATGTATACGTAAATCATAGCAAGTTTTTCAATCCAATTGTTTGACTTTTCTGCATAATGAAAGAATAAAATCTATATGTGTTCTCCATTAATGGAAGACACTATATACCAATCTGATTTAAAGACACATTATATAATTACTTATTTACATATAATTATATACTTACATATGCGCACTAAGCTCTATATTAAACGTATGTTAAACATTACTTTTTTTATTATTTAGATAATTAAAAGAAATAAGATCCGAATAAACAAGTTTGAAATAAAAGTACATTTTCAAAATATATTTTCAAGAAATAAACACATATTACATATCAATTTGTGAATTTTTAACCTCTTGAATTGTTCTCTACTGTCTGCCCCACACAGCCAAGAATATTGCTGTCTGCAGCTTTCTCTCCCTCGATTCTCCTACCTGTAAATTAAATATTGATAGGAAATAAGGTAAAAATTTGATCATTTGATTCTTTCCTAACTATCCTATACATAAACATACTATTTTATTATGTAGTATTTTCTTCGGTCGTGGTTTTTTTTCGCACAGCAGTGATTAACCAAAGATATAGAAATAAGACAGTAACTGTTGCTAAAATTATCATTATATAAATACTATAAATAATACATAAAAATTACGATTGGCTTAGATTATTAATGCTGTCCTGTTTCCATTAATTTTTGTTCGTTGATTAACGTCCCTCTCGATAATCTTTCACTCATATGGAGACATCACTACGGTGCGGGATGCAAAGTTATACTTTTTGTGGCATTATACTTATGAAGCTTTTACTTATATCTACTAATAAACGCACTATCTTATTTCCCATCATCCGATGTATCAAATATATGAAAGGGAATTACCGCTAAAATTCTATGTACATGTACCTTGCTTTTATTCCTATTCTGCCAACCTCTTTATTTTATGCTATTTTTGTAACTATATGTCGCTTTACTGTTTTCAAATTCATTTTTATTGCATTCACTTTTATCATTCTTCAATGTGTCGTTATTTCTATGTTGCTTTATTCTTGTAAATTCGTTCTTCTTTCTTTAAAATTGGTACAGTTTCTTATTTTTTTTATTTTCTCTATTACAAACGTGAATTCATTCAGTCAAGCAAACAATGAAGCATATTCAATCAAGATGAATGCAAGTAGTACGAATTTAACGCTAGGCCTCAGCGTGTTGGTAAAATTAGATAGACAAACCCGGGCCGTTGTTTTAACAGATTTTTTAATTTCTATAAATTTTGTATTAATCAAAGAAAGTGTATTTTAAAAAATGCAATTAACAAAAAATAATAGTAAGGTGTACATGTATGTACAGGAATACAATACTTTGTAGTTTGACTTCAAATTAAGATTATTTGTAAACAAGAAAAAGGTACATGTACTTACCATTTAAGGTTGTTTCTTTTGATTGTCCAGGAAAAACTTCAGCATTTCTAGCGGCTTCATTTTTTTCTACAGGATTTTAAGACTTGTTTATGAATCATGAGTATGAAAATTCAATTACGTACATAAGTGAAAAATAAAGTATTTCATCTAATTTATAGAATGCTATCAATGATTAAAGAAAATTAAAAATAATGGTTTTCTTTCTTCTTTTTATTTTGTTTATGCAAGACCAATTTAAATAAGACTTCCGACGAGCTGTTTCTCCACTGGTTTGCATTTTTAACAAATGAAGAGAAATATAGAACATGGAAAAGTGTGATAATTTTCCGTGCTTGATTCATTGTCTGGAGATTAAATTTTATTAATTTGATGTGTTCTACGGTAAAACCGTTAGGGCGAGCGCAGAGTTAATTGTAATTAATAACTCACGACTTTAAACACCTCTCAAATTATTTTTTATTGGTTTTGCTTAATACGTTACTTTTCTACAGATAATTTGCCTTTCAACATAATTATACAATATATCTTTGCATTTTAAATGTGTACTCTTCAACCTATTTCAAAGATTAACCCCTCTAACAGTTATTGCCTCCTGTGCAAAACAAAACTTGTATTGCTTCCCCTTGGAAACCGTAAACCACAGAGACACAAATCTTCACTTAGCTGAAAATTCAATCTATTCAGTAAGAAAGAATCTAATGACACCCCATATGATTCATTGTCCTAGTTCTAAAGTCTTAAGGTTGTACTACCTATCAATCCCATTACCTTTCGAAACAAGTCCCGTAGAAGCATGCGACCAATTGCACAATGCCCATTGACCTTTAATGTTTGGTAAAGGTCAAGGTCATTTAATTTTTTCTAAATTTATCTTTTAAATCATTAATATTTAAAGTTATAACCCCTTTTACTCTAAACCTTGTTATCGCCACTCCTCCGAAATGGTAAATCTTAGTGGTACAGAACCATTACCAATGTCTTATTCTAACTAAGTACATGTGCTTTCTTAAATGTTGACCTTGAAATTTAAGTCAAAATCAACGATCAAGGTCATTGGAAAAGTATATTAATTGTCAATATATGATATATATTTAAATGGCTTAGACCTAGATTTTTTTTTACCTTTGACCTTGTCTCTTTTCAAGAAAAAAAAAGAAATATTCAGTATATTTTTCTTGAGTCAGCTTAAAGTTCTGAATTCAAGATTACAACAACTGAAAGTTTAAAGAGTCTTGTTTAATGAATTTACTTTTGACTCCTTGACCCAAAAGTCACAATCAAACTTAATTCGTGGAGGTTTTTACAACTCTCACTTTTACAAATGCTTAGAATAAATAAGTACCCCCTTGTAATCAAAAATTCAATAGCAACGTAATAAAAATCCGACAACACCTTAGATCGACATTAAATTTTAGGGAACTGCAAAATAGACCTCAAAAATGTTTCATGAAAGTTATGGTGAGACCTTAAAGAATACATAAATTATGATTTGTTGGGCAAAACTTACAAATTCTATCGTGTTTGAAATTGACGTGTAGATGAACAATGATAAGACATAAACCTTGCCAAACCTTTTTTTCTTCAGATATTGTTTATAACATTTAGTCCAACTGATATGAAATAATATTTTAATACCAAGTAGTCTTCTTTTATTTAACCTTTGAAATTGAATTTAATTCACATATATGTTAATTTAAATATTTCAATATCATTTCGGTAAGAAATTTTAAAATCCAAACATGATTTTTCTGGGGGGTTTTTCTCTCCATTTTTACAAACTGCGTTGCGTCCCCTGCTTATGTTTCTCAAAACCCCTAATCTTTTTTTTATCTACATCCATTTAAAAAATCAATCAACTCAAATCATATCTCTTCAAGCACCTCTTAATATGCACAGATCATGTTATCTATCCTCTTAAGTTAGGGAGACACGTATTCAGACGGAATTTAACATCATCACTGTATCATACAATAATAAAATGTGCAAAGGGTGAGGCACAACCCCCAAAAGGAAAATAGTAAAACTACATTTAAAATTTTATCTCAGAATAATATGGATGCCCCTTCACCATTAACCCTCCTAAGCCTTCCTTGGGCTTGGAAAGGCATCTGTAATTAAGATAAAGGAGTTTATTTCAGAATCAACAAACAAATGGTACCAAATATCTCCCGGCCTTGTTGGACACGCTGTTTGTCTGCAAGTCCCCTACGTTCCTTTTCTCGTTCCTTTTTTGCTTCCTCGTGATCATTTTTTGCCTTCTTGTTTGTTTTTGTTCTTTTTTCTGGAAATATGAATGTATGATTTTAAAATCAATATTTTTCCAACAAAGATACTTATTCCAATTTTTCCATTATCAATACACGGGTTGAGACATTTTCCAAATTCCAAACCGCGATGTAAGGACCTATCCTTATACTGGTATCAAATGATAAACGCACTGATCACTATCTTTTTTCCCCTCATCGGATGTAACAATTATGCATACTTATTTTTAGTTGATTGCAAGTAAATTTTGTAATCATAATGATATAAGAAACTTGTATCCTAAATGATGCAATTTACAACAATAATAGTAAAACTATGTACAATGTATTTAAAGGAATGCAATTGTTTGTAGTTCTATTTTATATTTAGATCACCTGCAGACAAAAACAGGGAATTTACCATTTAAGGCTGTTTCTGGAGACACTTCAACATTTCCCATTGGTTCTTTACTTTGATTTTTTGCTGCAGTCTTGTTTTCTACAGAATAAAGACTAAACTATGTATTATGTCTATGAAAATTGATTTACATATTATAAGTGAGAAAATAAGAAAATAATCCAAATTAAACGACAAGCTGTTAATTAACCGGTATGCACTTTTAACAAAGGAGAGATATCTAGCACATTGACCTTCAATCTGATTAAAATCAGCTGTTCTGATACGCTACCGCTTACGTAAGCGGTAGCGTATAAGAACAGCTGATTTTAATCAGATTGATTGACCTTTGATAAATTTCCATGTTTCTATTCATTTTCTGGAGGTTATATCTTATCAATTAAATATGTTCGATGATAAAATTGTTAGGGCAAGGGGAGTGTTATTTGTAAGAACTTATACATTATACTACTCTCAAATGTCTTTTTTTCATTTTGCCTTATACTTTACTTTTTTGTGATCTTTGTCTTTCAACTTATACAATATATCTTTGCATCTTTAATATGTACTCCTAAAACTTATTTAAAGATTTTATTCCTGTCCCTTAAAATTAACCCGTTTAACAATTTTTGTGCAAAAGAACCCTTGCGTTGCTAATCTCCTTGCAAACAGTAATTCATAGAAACACTTATTCTTCAATAATGTCTTCTGAGTTTTTAAATACAATTTCAATTTATTAAGTACGAAAGGATCTAAAAACCCTTATATTATTTTCGCCCTTTAAAGTCTTTGCACTTTCTATTGATCCGTACAATTGTAAAAATAAGTGTCATAGAAGCATGCAACCAATTACACAGTGAATATTGGCCTTTAACGTTCAAGGTCATTTCATTTCCTTAACTTTTAAACCATACATGGATTCTTTTGATTTAAAAAAATGAGGTTAAAATATTAGAATTAAAAAGAAAATTAAAGAAGAGAGAAAACCTCTAATTCATCGACTAGTTATTACGTTTTAGGCCCTTCTATCTTTCTGTAGAAAGACCTCTTGAAAAAATTCTGTTAATAATAAGTTCATTATACTTCTAACGCGTGGAAAGACCTATTGATATTATATATATACTGAAACGCAAAATACACGCAACATAACATTTTAGGGGAAAATAGTGATATATAGTATAAAATTTTGTATTTCAAATTTCTATCTTTTGTATATCGTATTTTGTATCTTCAATTTTCTAATTATCGGTAATTTTACGGTTGAACGATTTTCTTACTATTTCTGGAAGCTAAGTATGAGTCTGTTTAACAGAAATAAAAAAAAAATGCAAGTTTCACAAAACATTGGGCAATATCAGTAAGTTTTAAAGGTTTGTAACTGTTCATTATGAGTAATGTAGAAATATTTTTAGAAAAATAAATTTTCCTTTGTTTCTCGTACATTGTAACAATGCTAATGCTGCCTGAAAATGACATAAGTTCGTATCTCCATTGCCTTAACTGAGAAGTCTCAAAATAAAGGTGACTGAGAGTTACTGATGCACAAATACTTTACATTACGCATCAGCGGGCTCTAATGTATCATTTGCATTCATGACAGTCCGTGGACCGGAAGTTCAAGTGTTTCTACAATGCGTTAGATTACAAAAAATTCTACCTTATCAACTGAAAAACTGCAATTTAAAAATAGCAAAGAATATTTCTTTTGCTCAGATTTCTATATTGATGAACCAATTGCATCGTAGAAAATAAGCTGCAATTGTTGTGTTGGGAAGCCTTGCACATTTCACATTTTTCCACCTCACCCATAGATGCTGTATCAAAATTTGTTTGAAATTGGTTCAGTGGTTTCAGAGAAGCTCAAAACACACAACACACGACGCATGACGGACGACGACGGGCGAAAACGGGTAGCAATAGGTCACCTGAGTCACTCAGGTTTCATATTTTAAAAATTCAAATATTTGTAGATCACTGCTAATTGCGTTTTTTTTGCGTTTCAGTATACAAAGACACTTATTCCAATTTTTCTATTATAAATAGCCCCGTGGGGATCAGGGTTAGTACCCCTTGCTTGTCGTAAAAGGCGACTAAATGAGACCGTATAAACCGAGGTCCCGTGTCACAGCAGGTGTCGCACGCTAAAGATCCCTCCCTGCTCAAAGACCGTAAGTGCCGAGCATAGGCCTAAATTTGCAGCCCTTCACCGGCAATGGTGACGTCTCCATTTCAGTGAAATATTCTATAGCGGGACGTTAAACAGTATACAATCAATCAATTCATTATAAATACATTGGTTGAGACATTTGAAGAAAAGCAAGGAAACAAGGCAGTTTGTACTTAGATAATTCTTTAATAAATGAACATTTCTGTCCTTAAATTAAAATAAAAAATAAATTTTAATCTAAGCTTGCAATTGTGTAATACTATCCAATCCGCGCTAATCAATGTAAAATGTCAATAATGTCCAATTGAGCCATTTTCCTGTTTTGAATACGTTTCTTCCAATATATCCACAAGACATTGAAGGAAGTGTACAGCTGTTTACATATTCACATGCTTAATTACTCACAAAACGTCGAGAAGTAAGTCTTTTCTTTTCGTTTAACAGATATAAGAATGACTTTCTTAAGGTATAGGATGTACAGTAAAACTCGGTTATAGCTAAGTCCTTGGGACCTGTGAATTTGATTCGCTATATCCGTAATTCCTTATATCCGTATATCGAATTCGCAATACTGTATACCGGGAAATATTCGCCCCCTTGTTATTTTCGCTCCTCTTGCATCATCTCCACTTTATAAAAAGATAGCATTAAGATTGAAATGACGCAGCTATTTGAAGGCTTCCAAAGCTTTAAAATGCGTTTAAATTATTATATTGCATTGCAAAGTCATTTTTCTTAATTTGTTATTTTTATATAGAAGCTTACCTTTGCTCTATATTAACATATTAAAGTGATATTTTATTAATCTGTTTATTATATGACGATCTTTTTTTTAGTGTTTCATATAAATCACTTCGACACATAACTCTATATCAAATCTTTTAAACATTTTGCCATATAAATCAAATCATCGTACATGTATTGTTGTAATCCGGAAATGTGCTTGGGAAAAGTCAAAGTGTTACTCGGGAAGAAAATATTTCAAAAGAAGATCAAATTACGACACATTTGATTGATTGATCGTTTTCTGTTTAACGCCACTCTCGAGATTTTTTCACTCATATAGAGACACCACAATTTACCGGTGCATAGGTAAAGATTTTGACCTATACTTGGCACTCAAGGTCATGGAACAGGGAGAAATCTTTTTCATACCGGCACCTCCTGCAACATGAGACCTCGGTCTCATCCGAAGGACTGGTCACCACGTCCAACAGTGGGATTCGAACTCGCGACGTAAGGATCAGCTCCATACTCCCCGACTCAAAAGCAGACGCTCTAACCACTGCCCAACGCGGGCGACCAACACATTTGACGGGTTTTCCACTCAATAGCGTAATCTTTATTAAAATAAAGCCATTACATATTTCCAAAAGCATTCATATTCATATTGTATTAACGCAAGCGAAAGGGAAACTAGAGGTACTGTGAGCGATAAGCTCACTAATGATACCCCCGCCTCCCATTTGGTTATAACTGGTGAGAAAGTCCATGTTTTCATGTGGCCGGGAGCCCCAAAATATGTGTCGGATCAAATAGTAAAATAGGAGGTGCACAATGGCATTATGTAAAAAAGATTCTGTGAAAGTTGCATCAAATTTCATTATATTATGTATTCCTATTTCATTTACATTATATATTTCATTTATTTCATTTCATTCGTGAGTGGTATGAGAGGAGTTGCGGATAAGAGATGGATACACCAAAGCGTAACAGACGGACGGACGGACGATTGTTTTTTGTTACAGTAGCTTCATTGGGAAAATGAATGTACACACACTGAGTTGGTAAAGGGACCCCCAGGAGAGGGACTGGTGAATTTTCTGTTTCAGATATTTCTTTCATATCATCATGTAAGTCAGGGACGGATAACTTCTTCTTTTTTTTTATCCGAAAAAAAGTTTGACGAGCCAAAGAAAAAAGGTAAACTCTATTTCAGGTGGGGTTAGTTCAAAATATATTTTATTCATTGAATTGGATTGAACAGCAGACTTAGATGCCTAGGATCGTTCTCTCAATAGGTCAAGGTACTATTACAAGTACATGTAATTGATGTAAACATTGAAAAAAATGTATGATGAGTAGATTATCAATTGTTACATAATTAGAATGAATTCAGAGAGAGAGATTTAGAATGAATTCAGAGAGAGAGAGAGAAAAAAAAGAGATATCATAGAGTAAAACAAATAAAAATAAAAAGAATAATTTAACAAATCGAATAGAGAAATAATAATTATATGAATAAAAACAAAAAAAAATTGGGTGGGGGGAAGGGATAGAAGCACCAGCCAAGGACAAATTATTTATTTTCTTGCTGGTGGAGGATCGATTTTTTTTTTTCGAGAACGGCCAATTTATTTCGAATATTTGCAATAAGTGCACTGCATGTGTAGATAGATTTACGCTTTACATTCTGCCGTTCGGTATTAACTATACTGAACATACAAAACTAATTAAAATATAACTAAATTGAACTTCAATCGATAAAATTTGAACGTCTCCCCCGGCCTTCCCTCTTCACCATTTCTCTCGAATGCCTGGAGAGGGGGCTCTATTTTTGAGCAGTTTTTTGTACTAAGTTGCAACAATATCAAAATTGCTTGGATTGATACGCGTTACCAATAAATGCAATTATCAAAGTCTTATGCAATACTTGAATTTTATACATGTACGCAAATATGAAGAAGATAAAGTTTGCGATAGAATGTAATAATCGACCAATTTAAATATTCGTAATGGACTGAAAAAAATCATAAAATGCTTTCATTGATTAATTCAAGTTTTAAAGACATTTAACTATGCTGGTAATATTCAAGAAAACGACATCGGGACTGTTTAGTCCACCTTTTTTACCCAACAAACAAGCTGTATGTTGCAGCTGACCGACTTTAGCGTGGGAGAAACGCGAATCTTGTCTACTTCCTTTGATT